GTGTCGTCTACAGCCCAGTTCTCCAATTTGTTGAGATCCCTGTGAATTTTAGCTCCATCCTCCAAAGTGTTGGCAACTCCTCACATCTTTGTGTCTTCTGCAGATTTGATCAGTCCGCTCCCTAGTCCTACATCCCCATCATTGATAACAACATGGGACCACTTGAGACCTCCCTCCAATCCCACATTGTCCATTAACAGTTACTCATTGTTTACGGTTGTTAACCCAGTTATGTATCCACTTAATGGTAGTTCCACCGAACCCACATTTCTCCATAAGAAGGGCCATACTGGGTCAGACCAAAGGTCCATCTAGATCAGGGGTCTCAAACACATGGCCCGCGGGTTTCTTTCATGCGGCCCGCCAAGCTCCCCACGCCCCCCCGCCTACCCCGTGGTGCCGCGAGCCCCGCACCGCTCCCCGAAGCAGCTGGAACTATGTCCCTCAAGCCCCGGGCGGGGCGAGGGTGGGGAGTAGAGGGCTCCATGCTCTCGCTTCCAGGCACTGCCCCCCGCAGCTCCCATTGGCCGGGAACGGGGAACCGCGGCCAATGGGAGCTTTGGGGGAGGTACCTGGAGAAGCAAGAGCAGCACATGGCACCGTTCCCCCCTGGGGACTCCAGCTGCTTCCTGGAGTGGAGCACAGTTGAGCAGGGCCAGGGCAGGCAGGCAGGGAGCCTGCCCTGGCCACGGTGCATGGTGCTGCCACCCCGGAGCCGCTCTAGGTAAGCGGTGCCGGGCTGGAGCCTGCACCCCAACCCCTGTCTGGAGCCCCCTGCCACATCCCACACCCTCCCGCACCCCAACTCCCTGCCCTGAGCTCCCTGCCACAACCTGCACCCCAACCCCCTGCTGCACTCCTCACCCCTCCTGCACCCCATACCCCAATTCCCTGCCCTGAGCCCCCTGCCATACCCTGCACACCTCCTGCACCTCAACTCCCTGCCCTGAGCCCCCATCACACCCCTCCTTCACCCCTTGGGGGCAGGGAGGGGGCAGAGTTGGGGTGAGGACTTCGGGGAAGGGGTTAGAATGGGGGCAGGGAAGGGGCAGGAAGAGTTGGGGCAGGGGCGGGGCCTCATGGAAGGGGTGCAGTGGGGGCGGGGCTGGGGGCAGCAAGGGATGGGTGTCAGTGATGCGGCCCTCTGGCCAATGCACTAGTCCTCATGTGGCCCTCCTGGTCATTTGAGTTTGAGACCCCTGGGCTAAACCATCCCAGCCAGGGCTTTGTCAAGCTGGGCCTTAAAAACCTCTAAGGATGGAGATTCCAGC